AGCCCCCAGGATGGTTGGAGCACTCAAAACATGGCTAGCTGCAGCTGGGAACTGGATTGTTGCATGTGATTTGCCTTTATTTACATTTATTTAATCTAACACAGATTTAAGCTCAAAAACCTAATTAATGCTCATTGTCACACACGAATCAGCCCTCACCACAACATTTTAAAGGGGTGACTTTTTTGGTTATAAGAATTAAATCTCAGTTTGCAAAGAAATGACGTTTGAGTCAACCACTGGGGTTTTTTGTCTGGTTTTTGGTGAGACTGGGTTTGAACTCAGGGTTTCGTGATTGCAAAGCAAATACTCTACCACTTGAGCCACCACAGGTCCCTGATTCAGTAACTGGGAAATGTTCTAGGATGTTTGCAATACGCCAGGTACAGGAAGGCCACTTTCTACAGTGAATGTCAGGATGCCCAAAATACAGACCCACGTTTTCCCAGGGAAATCTGGTATCATTGCTGAACTGCACGGGAGTATCAAATACTCGCGAGATTTTGCAAACAGTGCAGACAAAAGTGAAATACATCGTTACTAATTTTGAGATATTAATAAATGATTAAGATTAAAAATTAATTATTATAACAGTAGTGTAAAAGTGGTTTTGCAACTTTCTACAAAATGTTATGATCTTTTTTGGTTAAGTAAATGTATTATAATTAATATAATAATATCATTACTATTAAGTGATTTAATTAATTAATATAAGATAGTTTAATTATTAAATTATAACATTATAATCATAACTACATAACAAATAATAAATGATAGGATTTATATTGTCCAATATTACATCATTTATATCACATAGTATTACCCAAGGTCATAATTTATATATATAAATGGAATGGTTTAATTTATGTATTTAAATATTTATATAATACTTGTACTATGTTAATAATATAATATTAATAAACTTTCATTATACTATAGTATGATATAAATTATAAATAGAAGATAAAAATATGAATATGATGTAGGTCATAAGTATAAATAATATAACATTATCAATTATGACAGACTATATATAGCATGGTTAGGGCATGGCACAGCACTATTTTTTTATTTTTGTTTCTTTTTTTTTCAGACACAATCCCTCTGTGTAGCCCAAGTGGGCCTTGAATTTGCAATTTTCTAATCTGCCAAGTGCTGGGATTACAGGCATGAAGTACTGTGTTTGGCTTCTGATTTCTATTTCTGCATCATGGATATTTTGTGTCCCCTTTGATTTTTCAATATTTCATTAAAACATCTCCTATAACGATGACTCATCATCGTTAAGCGTGCCCTTAAATTCTAGGCTGGAGTACAGCACCTCAGCCTCCTGCCCCTTCTCCTGGCCCAGCCACAAGCCGTTCACCATTTAACCAGGGCTGGTTGGGGCCTCACGTCAGGCTGCTGGTGGCAGGGGCACAGGTACACACGATGGGACCACGCCCGGCTTCCTTTTTCTCATGTTTCACCCCTGACCGCCCATGTTACAATCCTGTTTCCTCTTTCATCTTTTCTTAATCACTCTGCCCAGTCTCGTGTCGACATTGCTCCTTCAAAGGTTTTTGTGTGTGTGTGAGTTATTCTGTGTGAATAGTTTAACCCTGATCAACTATGGACAGCCTGTGGCAGGCTGGTGGCAGGGAAAGGAGTTTGAGGCCCTGTTCTCAGACATACTCTTTTTTTTTAATTGGAGACTGTTTTTTTATCCCTGTAGCCCAGGCTGGCCTGTAACTCAAGATTCTCCTGCCTCAGCTTCCTGAGTGCTGGGGTTACAGGTGTGTCACCATGCCCAGCTCTGTGGCATAATTTAAGAGCCTGCCAAAAAGCTTGGATTCATGTTGTTGTATTTTGGTTCAGATCCATAAACCCTCTGACACCAAGAGAGAGCCCTACTGTAAGCTATAAACTCTGGGCAATATTGTGTCAATGTAGGTTCACAGATTGTAACACACAGGCCACTTCACTCTAAAGGGAGCCCTTGATAGTGGGAGGCACTGTAACTGTGTGTGTGTGTGTGTGTGTGTGTGTGTGTGTGTGTGTGTGTGTGAGTGTGTGTGTGTGTGTGCTATAAATTTTAAAAAGCTCTGCTTTGGGAAATTACGTCCCTCATGGTCTAGCCTTGGATACCTCTCCAAGAGCCAGGGTCAGAGAGGAAGCTGTCATGAAGTACGCCATGCGCTGTGTTGGGATCATCTGCTGAGTTTCTCACCTTTCTTGTCTGACAAGCTCACAGCCAGGATCTCCCACGTGGTGATGCTGTCTTTCAGAAAGATGTTCATGATCTTCGTGGAGATTCTGGGTGGAGAAGGGGTCGGGGCATTAGGAGGAGACTTCTAGCACAGGTGGGGAGGGACCAAGGGACAGGCTGCAGGGGTCTGGGGGTGTGCACATGCGTAGCCCAGCTTCTCCCTTGGGCTGCAGGGCTCCACGGTGACTTAGAGGACACTGGAAGTTGCAGGTGCATGCAAATGAAATAGTGGGTCTGGGGTGTTGCTAGCAGGCCTCGGGTGGGAGCATGAAGCGGGGGGACCCCGCCCCCACTGTACCCATTCTTCTCTGGTTCTTTCAGTTCTTCTATGGTCCACAGCCAGCTTTCTGGAAACTGGCTCCTAGATATGATGTCTTCTTCTGGAATGATGTCCTCATCCAGCTCACCTGAGGGTGGGGGAGATCTGGTTGGGAAGAGAGCTACTTTTCCCTCATATGCTATCTCGGTCCTGGAGGACACATATCCAGATTGTGTAATGGCATTTTATGAACTCCAGGCATGTTACACTTTGGAGACTTTTCTCCATTAAAAAATGAAAGTTATAGTTTATAAATGTGTTGGTGTAAAGGTGAATATAATCCAAGCTGGGTTATTCAATTTCCTTCCTCTGATTTTCAAAGAAATGAAAGTATTTGCACAGGCCTCTCTTTATGAGGATCAAGGCCCCTTGTCATCATGCCTGCGGTGTGTGAGGATCTGTACATCCTGAATACCACCAGGTAAGTTCAAAGTGCTTGCACACCTGGTGGAGACCACCCTCTGGTGGTCTTTAAAAGCTAGTTCGACAACAGGTGTAGTGACTCACACCTGTAATTCCAGCTACCTAGGAAGTGGAGATCAGGAGGATCCCGGTTAGAGGTCAGCCTAGGCAAAAAATTAATAAGAGGCCATCACAACTAATAATCTGGGCATTGTGGTGTGCACTTATGGTCCCAGGTAGATGGGAGGATGTAGGTAGGAGGTTCATAGTCCAAGGCCAGCCCTGGGCAAAAATGTGAGAGCCTATCTGAAAAATAGCTACAGCTAAAAAGGGGCATGGCTTTAGTGGTAGAGCGCAAGGCTCTGAGTTCAAACACCAGTACCACCAAAAAAAAAAAAAAAAAAAAGTTGGGCTGGACGAAGGTTCTGCCCTGGCTCTTCCTTCCTCAGACATTTTAATTTAACTTCTGGCTCCTACCCACCAAGTGGGATTCTATAGATGCTGAAATCCACCCATATTCTGTGCCTCATGGGGTCTGCATCTCCCCCACACGGGGTTCTTACCCCCACTGGCAAGGGCATTCTTCCCATCACACAGGTGCCCCCCCATTCTCCACGTATTGACAGGTGTGCCCTTCCCCTCCCCCACTGTCACCCCCCAAGTGAGACTCACTCCTGGCCAGGCCCAGCTTGCCCTCGCGCCGGTGCTGCTCGCGCAGTTGGGCGAGGTAGGTGCAGCAGTCCATGAAGGCCTTCACGCACGCCTCCCCCTGGGAGATGAAGCGAGCTCGGCGCTGGCAGGTGAACCGCATCGGGTTGTCACGCATACCGTCCTCGCAGCACTTCCGCAGCTCCTTGCTCTTGTACTGACCAACTGTGGAGCGCAGACCCCGCATCAGCCTCAGCCCGGGCGCCACCAGACAGGAGAACTTCCCCAGCCAGCCCTCCCCTCCTGCCTGTGGATTCTAAAAAGGCCAGACGGGGGTCCTCTAAGGGTGGCCGGTGGGGCCAGGGCAGTGGACTCCCACCTTTGTCCATCCTCTTCTCCATGAGCTGCACAGAGCGGCGGCGGCGGGCGGCTGGCTTTGAGCACTCGGTTTCTGAGGGAAAAGGGGACCAAGAACAAGATGGTCCATGGGGCACCCCTCCCAATGGCTTTGAGGTCAGGTGTGGTTGTGCCCATTTCCCAGATGAAGAAACTGAGGCTCATACAGCAGGGATATGCCTGTGATTCCTGTGGAGGTGGGACTTGAACCCAGGGGCCCCAGTTTCAGACCCTGTTACTATTGTCTGGAGAGGGAAGTGTGTCCTGTCTGCTCCAGGTCCTCACCTGCCCTCTGGGCGGTCTGCAGGCCTTTGCTGGTCTTGAAGGCCAGACCTGCATCCTTGAAGACACCCGCATAGTCCTGCCCACTGCCAGGGGTGCAGCCAACGTCTGCCTTCTCCACCACATCCCAAATCTGCAGGTGGAGATGAAGTGGTAGGGCTGGGGAGAGGCCAGGTGAGCAGTGCCTCCTCCAATTCCCAACAGAGACCACCCCACTCCTTCCTCATCTCCAGCCCACCTCCACCCCTCCGACTGAGTCTCACCCAACCCAACACAGCTCCATCCTCATCTTCCACCCTACTCTCCACCCCTCCAACCAAATTCAGACCACTGGTCCATCTTCAACTTCCACTCACCCCCATGTCTACATCCGGTTGTTTTTTGTGGTGCTGACGAGGGAACTTAGGACCGCTCACGTACCATGGACCCACACCCCAGCCCTGGCTACATCTATTTCAACCTCTGCTTTCAACCCAACCTAACCCCTTCCCTTCAGTTCTGCCATCTTATTACTCAAACTCACAGACGCAGGCTCATACCTTACTCTGAGTCAGCTTATTCTTTTTGTTCAGCACAAACACGCCCTTGTCCACAGCCACCAGCCCCACGCGGGCCCCACGGTCACCCTCTATCTTGAGGGTCATCTGCTGCCCAGGTAGAGGCTGCCGATCATCTTTCCCGCCACCTTTTACCACCAGCTGTGGGAGGTTGGAAAAACAGGAAGGAGAAGTCAGCCCTCCTAGGGCCACTGAGGAGGAGAAGGGCCAGGCTGGGCTGAAAGGAGAGAAAGGTGGAGGGAGGGAGGGAGGAAGGAAGGAAAGGAGGCAGATTGTGGAGGATCCAGGGATGCTCACCGTGCCCACACAAGAATCTTTCACATCAACCCACACAGAGTCGGCCACCACCTCCCTCTGGCCGCTGGCACCAATCAGCGTGTAATAAGCCACCAGGCGGAAAGAAGGAATGAAATCCGAAGTGATGCTCAAAGGTAGGACCACCAGGTCCTGGCCGGGCTCTCTAGTTTGGCGACCTGCCTTCAGCAGCTTCCCCTTGTTCATGACCTGCACAAACAGGGTGACAGAAGAATCAGGCTGGGGTTCAGTGCTGGTGGCTCACACCTGCTTGGGAGGCTGAGATTGGGAGGATTGAGGTTTGAGGGCAGACTGGGAAATAGTTTGTGAGACCCATCTCCAAAATAACCAGAACAAAATGGACTGGAGGTGTGGCTCAAGCGGTAGAGCAGCTGCTTTGCAAACCTGAAGCCCTGAGTCCAAACCCCAGTAGAAGAAAGGGAGAAAGAAAAGACTGGGGGGAGAGAGGATGGATGGGGAGGCCTGGGACTGGGAGGGATGCTGGGGGTGCTGGGAGGGATCCCAGGGACTCTGGGGAAGTGGGGCACAGGGGTTGAAGCTGCAGGTGGCCACAGACCAGGTAGGTGTAGTAACGGATCTTGGCTTCCTGGCCAGCATCTGTGCGCAGGTGGAAGTTGACATTGAGGGTCTCTCCTGGCTTCAGCTCGACACGAGGCACGGAGAGATGTAGGTAGTTGTTGGAATTGTGCATTGTACTGTAGGGCTGGGCCTGCATCGTCTTGGTGGCTTGCCGTGCCTCCGGGATCCCCTCCTTCTTGGTGCGCACCTGGGTGAGGAAAGAGGGGTGCAGGCTGGTCCCCCAAAGATGCCTGTGTCTGAATCCCTGAGACCTGTGACCTCCTATGGACAATGGGATTTTGCAGATGGCATTAAGACTGCACTTAGGAAACTATGTCTAAAAGTATGTCTCTCTGAGAGAGAGAGAGAAAGAGAAGAAAAAGCAGGAGGAGGATCCCTCCTTGCACAGGGTAGAACATTCGACACAGGTGAAGTGACCTTGCTGCCATGACAGGACCCCACACGACAATGGTAGGACCCTTTTGTGCAAGCATCAGGGCTCCACTGTGCCCGCTTCCTGGTGGTAGGGTCCTGAGGCAGAGCCACGACTCACCGTGATGGTGAGGGGCTGCCGACTGTTGGGCGTGTTGATGCTTAGTTTGGCCACACCATCGTCTTGGGTGAGAGACTGCACGTCATTGCCCTGGGTCACCACGGGTACACGGCGGGCCGGGGAGCCGTCGGGGTTTGTCACAAACACCTGTGGTGCAGAGTCAGGTGGAGGAGGGTCAGGAGGACTCCACTGCGTGGTCAGTGCTCCAGGAGCAGAGAGGGGGGCCCTGCCCTGGGTCTCACCATGAGATCAAAGGGCATGGCTGGCTTGAAGTACTTGGGTGTCTTGGTGAAGTGGATCTGGTATGGAGAGGTCACGATGGGGATTCCGTTGTACTCTGCTTCCACCATGTCACTGCCTGAGGGGACCCACCATGAGGGCGAGGTCCTGGGGCACCCTCCAGGACCAGGCCTTTCCCCTCAGATTGGACCCTGTCTTTGTACAGGGCCTCTTCCCTGAGACGAGGGCTCACCTGAGTGCAAAATGACAGTGACAGACACGTACAAGGACTTCCCCACCAGGGCATCAGCCCTGGAGGGCTGCACCCCTTCCAGTAGCGTCTGTCGTTTCAGTACAGCCTCCCCAACACCGTCTTCGATCTGGGGAGGGGAGGGACGAGGCTCAGAAAGGGGAGGGGCGGTATCAGAACGCTCAGAGACGGGGTTGGGTGGGTGGGGAGATGAGGGGGTGAGGGTTGGGGGTGGGGGGGTCTCCCAAGAAGAGGGCGCTAGGGCAAGGGCTCAAAGAGGGTCTCTTAGTGGGGAGGGGCTTTAGAGGGGCTGATGCAAGGGCTAGAGCGAGGGGCTCCAAGGGGCCTCTGTCAGGTACCACAATGCGGGTGAGGGACTGGGCCAGAGAAATCCTTTGGTCGCCATCCTGGACCCCAAAGATGACAAAAGCTGTTCCATCCACGTTCTTCCCATATAAGAACCTACGGGAGGCAAAAGGAGATTCCAGGTTCTCCACTCCTGGAAGGTGAGGCTCTCCCCACTTCTGGTGTGGCGGAAGACCCACAGTCCTGGTTCCATCCCTGGTGTCTCCCCTGGCCCCATCTTGTCCCTTACCTGGCGGTGATGGTGACTTCCAGGCCCTTGGGGTCATCAATGTAGTAGAATTTCTCAGCGGGCTCCACCAGGACCTCGAAACTGGGCAGCACTGGGGGAGAGACCACATTGGTAGGGCTGGTGCAGAGCTCGGCGTCCCAGATCCCGCCACCCCATCCCTCCTCCACTGCTTACCATACTCCTTCACCTCAAACTCAGCAGAGAAGACCTGCTGCGGGGAGTGTTCGTAGTAGGCTCGGATCTTCCACTGCCCCATGCTATGGGAAGTTGAGACAGTGTGGCCATGCCGCGAAGTCGCTGCAGCACCACCCCCCACCCAGGACCGGGAGTCCCCAGCCCTCTCCTGGATACCCTGACATACTTGACCAGCTCTGGGATGTTCCAAGACAGGGACAAGATGCCATACTGGTTGTGAGAAGACAGAGTGTCTCGCTTGATGGGGATGCCTTCTGGGGTCTGTAAGGGGACAAAAAGGGATGTGGGAGTATGTGGATCTTCTGAGGCCAGGTTTACCTCCCAGCTCTCTCAAACTTTTCTGTCTACCCTCTCTCCCCCCACTATGTCTGTAGGGGCAGCAGTTAAGAATATGGACCTAAGTCAGTCAGCCTAAGTCAAATCCCTACTATGCCACTTATAAGCTGTGTGACCTTGGGCAATTACTTCTCCATGCTCCTTGTGTGTCTAGAAAAAGGAGCTAATGGGACAGGAGCAGTGGCTTCTGTCTATAATCCTGGTTACTCAGGAGGCAGAGATTGGGAGGATTGCAGTTCAAGGCCAGCCTAGGTAAGAAAAATTATCAAGACCCTGTCTCAACAAACAAGCAGGCATAGTGTTGAATACCTGTAATCCTAGTTACAAGGGAGGCAGAGGTAAGAGGATTGTAGTCTAAGGCTGACCTTGAGCAAAAAGCAAGAGACCCTATCTGAAAAATAGTCTAAAAGCAAAAAGGATGGAGGGCATAGCTCTCAGTGGTAGAGATCTTTCCTAGCAAGTGAGAAACCCTGAGTTCAAACCCCAGTACCACCAAAAAAAAAAAAAAAAAAAAAAAAAAAAAAAGCGAACGAGAGCAAAAGGAAATAGTAAAGGGCTCTGCCTCACTGGCTTGTGTTAAAGTTCATATAACAGAAGCTCATTAGTATCCTTGACTCCAAATAGTACTAATAACGAGCATTTACTTCCCACTTTTGGACTGGACCCCATGTTGAGCATTTGGTTAGACTGAAGCCTGAGTCATTCATTGCTCGCAGTCAAGTTTTGGGGGCTGCAGGGAGGGCTTGAGCTGTGACAGAGGGAGGTGGGAATCATGGAGGGCTTGGGCAAAGCGAGAGACTCAGGTGTTCACAGGTGCCCTCTAGCTGGTGTAGGCAGAAAAGATTACATAGATTTATCATCTGTCATCATCCCTCTCTTCAACTGAGGAAACTGAGGCTCACGGAGGTGAAGTGGCCCTGGGTTTATTTGGGACCAGGATCCAGGGGTACATGCAGGGCCCCTTGTGTGTCTCTGCTGCCTCTAGGCTTCTCTCTCTGAGTGTGTCCTTCTGCATATCCCTTTGTTTCTGGGCCACCTTTTCAGGGTCTCTTTCTGTCTCTCTCCTGCGGTCTCTGAGCCCCAGCTGGCTGATACCTCAATGGTGACGATAACAGTCCGGCCCACGGGCAGCAGCTTGTGGTCAACGGTGAAGATCCGATAGAGGACTGGAAGGTGGTGGGGAGACAGGAGGAGAGTGGTGAGACCCAGCCTCACACCCCCTGCCTGGCCCTCTTGGGCCACCACAGTCCTTACCTGTGGAGCCCGGGGTGTAGATGGTCTTGTCTGTCTGGATGAAGAGGTACCCGCTCTGAAGGCTGACCAGCACCACTTTCTCCACCTGCGTAGCCCCGAAGTTTGCCTGCACTGTCACGAACTTGCGCCCTTTGTCTGATCTGAACTCGTTGCTGGCAGGGATCTAGGTGGCATGGACCAGGGGATTGTTAGAGGTCTGCTCCAGGACCCAATACTCAGAATCCAGTTTCTGGGCCTCTGCTGGCCTGGCCTGCTCCTCCTCACAACGGAGCCTGCACGTTCCCTTGTTTGCCCAGTGTGGGAGGAGGGGAGGGGCACCTGTAGAGCAAGGGGATCAGAGAGGGGACACAAAAGATCAGGTGCAGAATAGGGAGGGGCTCAAAAGGAAGAAGGCTTAAGAGGAGGGGCTCAATGGGAGGGACAAAGAATGGGGGACAGATAGGGGAGGGGCTCAGAAGAGGTGGAGCCAGAGAGGTGCGGGGCTTAGAAGAGGAGCCAGAGAGAGAAGGGGCTAGGAAGGGGTGGAGACAGAGAGGGGCGGGGCTTATAAGAGGCGGAGACTGGGAGGGGGCAGGGAAGGGGTGGAGACTGAGGAGGGGCGGGGCCTAGAAGAGCCAGAGAGGGGAGGGGCTTGGAAGGGGTGGACACTGGGAAAGGGGAAGGGCTTAGAAGAGGAGCCAGTGGGAGGGGCTTAGAAGAGGTGGAGACTGGGAAAGGGGAGGGGCAGAGAAGGAATGAAGACAGAGAGAGGGGAGGGCTTGGAAGAGGAGGAGACTGACATTTGTGGTGTTTAGAACGGGAGGCTTGATGCCCAGAGACTCTAGCGGCTCAGAAGAGGCTGGAGGCGCATAAGAGGAAGGAGCTTGGAAGGAGGACGCAGGGGGCGACCTAGAGGGTACAAAGAGTGGGAGGGACTGTGAGTGTCAGCATAGCCCAGCTCCAGTCTGCACTCACCTTGATGGTGACATTGCCCAAGTGTCCTGTGGCGCTGGAGAGCACAGTCTTCTCACTGGATAGCACTTGCTTCTTGGCCGGGAAGTCGTGGACAGTGACTGTGACTGCAACGTTGTCTTGCACTTCGTGGGCCTCCAGCACTATGGTCTCCTCATTCTCCAGCCGCAGGATATTGGGGCAGATCATGGAGTACCTGTGGGAGATGGCGCCCAGAGCAGAGCTGACATCCCAACATGCCCGGCGGCCTCTCTGCTGCCCAGCACTTCACCCCATCCCTGGTCCTGGAGGAGATCCAGTGACCACCTGGGGTACTGCCAGTGCTCATGTCTGGATCCCTGTTCCTCCCTGGGTACTGCCCACATGGGAAGAACAACAGCCATCATGTCCCATGCTCCCTTGGAAAGGCTGGACAAAGAGGGGCTACAGATGCCACCAACCTCTGATCCTCAAAACCAAAACAGCAGCCCTTCCACATCCTTGCCTTCCAAACCCACAAAATCTCCTATATCCACAAACAAGCAAAGCCCTAAACCACTGTGTTCTCTAAACATCCCAGATATACAAACACCCAAGCCCTGAGCCAGCCCAAACTATGCATACCAAACCCACAAGCACCTGAACATATAAGCCCCAAATCTCAGAACACTCCAAACCTACACTCAAACCTCTAACACCCCAGTCCTGTAAATATGAGCAAAGCCACACACCCCAACCTTAGTGAACCAAAGGGCTAAGTCTGTAATCCTCCAAGTAGCCACCCTAAACATTGGTCACTCACATGGGATCCCCCAGGGCCAGGGAGAGGCTGGCCAGCAGCAAGAGCAGCAGGTGGGGGCCTGAGGCAGTCCCCATGATGCAGGACAGTGGAGGGACAGAGGGTGAGAGGAACAGATGAGAGGGTGGGCAGGAGTGAGCCAGGGCTGCTGGAAGTGGCCTCTTATCTGGCCCCTGCCTCTCCCCTACTCCCTCCCTTTGCCCTGGGGCCCTGCCCCCTCCTGGGGCTGCCTGAGATTTCTCAATACCATTTCCTAAGCTTTCGAAGCGAAGCGGAGGCCAACCTGCCAGCGCGGAGGCCAACCTGCCAGCGTGTTCCCCTCCAACCTGAAAGCAACTGCCCTGTGTCCTGGCCTCTCTCAGGGTCAAGGCCAGCTGATGGGCTGAGGCAGCTCAATAGATTCTCCCAGTAGCTGAGACCACAAGTGCACATCACTGTCCCCTGCTTGTGTTTTGATTAATCAGACCTTTTCTATGAGTCCGTCTTTATGCTGAGGGCTCCAGCCCACTTCCTGAGGCTTCCATGCTGAGGCAGGAGGAGCAAGAAGAAGAGTCAGGGCACAGCATAGACATTCCCAGCCCATAGGGAGTGTTTTCCTCAATGGAAAGAATTCTGCTTCTTGGAGGGGACATTGCATCTAGGCTTTGAAGTATGCAGAGGTGTTCACTAACCAGGTGTTTTGTAGAATAAGAGGGTCCATGGCTGGTGGAGTGACTCAAATGGTGGAGCTCCTGCCTAGCAAGTGTGAGGCCCTGAGATCAAACCCTAGTACCACAAAAAAAATAAAAATTAAAAGAGGGTTCTGAAGCTAGCATGTATACTTTTTAAAATAACTATTACGAAACTTTACATACTCTGCTTCCTGGCTGGTCTCTTGCTTTTTTATGAACAATATATCCCAGAGATTATTTCTTATGAGTGCACAGAAACTGCACTGGACAGACAGACAGACTTCGGAGGTTGCAGTGAAATTTCTCCAGCCTTCTTTGTCTAGCTTTGATACTTACCAGCTGTGATTTTGGACAAAGCACTGCTAAGCACCCTGAGCCTCAGTTTCCTCCTGAAAAATGGGTTGTTTTAATGAATGGAGAGAATTCAGGGCCCATGTCTGCACACATTAGTAATCTTGCTAGGCACTGCCAAATCCACCCTCTCTGGGCGTTCTACTGATGTGTGCACACACCTTGCAGGACATTAATTGCCAATCTCCCTGAGGTCTGGCTCCCAGGACATGCTGGACCCTGGCTGACTTTTGGACTTCTGCCAGTCTCAGGGGTGACAGGTGGAACCCCAGGGTCACGTCCATTTGCACTTCTCTGATTCTCAGTTACTGTGTTGTCTGAACACAGGATGAGGATGGGTAACAGGAATGGTGGGTTCTGGTTCCTGGACAGGTGGCTTCCGGTCCCAGCGAAGGGGTTAACAGGGAGTTTGCTGGACTTCCTGTAAACCCCACCCTCTTGCTGGCCATGCCAGGGGCTGGGGAGGCTGGGGAACTAGAACAAACCTGGCAACCCTCTGCTTGATTGCAACACCCTTTCTCTGGAAGTGGAGGAGGAGGGAGGATGCAAAAGTTTGCTGGTTTCCAAAACTAGGTCCAACTTTCAAACTGGATCTCCCAAGTGCGCCCCATGACTTCCTCTGTTTCTCCTGCCTCCCCCTTACCAAGGGTTCCTGGTTTCCTTCGAGCCCCAAGCCCAGAGGCTTTGTGGTTTGACTGCACAGAGGAGGAATTCCTGTGTGGCCTTGGGCTTGCTGCAAGATTTGCTTTCTCCTCCCTGGACTCTTAGGCAGGCCATCTGAGCAAAGGGACAGATGACAAGTGTGGCATTGGGACAGTAACAGGAGCCCCATGACTGAGAGGGAAGGATGGACGCTCAGCATGGTGAGGGTGACTGTGACAGACAGGTGCTGGGACTGTCCTCACCTCCAGGAAGTGAGCAGAGGCGAGGGGACTGGGAGGGAATCCTAGGCCAGAGGTGGACCACAGCCCACTGGGAAGGAGGGAGGTGAGTGTGGGAATTCTTCAGCCCCATGACTTCTCCCTGGTGGAATGGGGGATATGCTGAGCCAGTAGGGGACAGAGCAAAGAGGTCTGGGGGGTGGATTTCCAGTCTGCGGGCCCACGCAGCCTAGGATCAAGGGCAGGGAGGACACAAGGCTGCCCAGACTGACAGTTTCTGGGATAAGATATCTAAAAGATACATATATTAAAAAAAAAAGAAAAGTAAACTTGTCTGTCTGTCTGTGACTGTGGGCTCTGCATCTGTAGATTCAGTCACCTCAGATTGAAAATATTCAGAAAAAATGATGTCTGCGCTGACAACTTAGGGACATTTTTTCTTGTCTAGATTCCCTAAACAACACAGTATAGCACTATTTACACAATGTTTGGATTGTGTTATGTACTCAGTATTCAGAGATGATTTAGTCTCAGGGAGGGTGTTCCCTGGTTGTGTGCAAATACTCATCATTTTATAGAAGGGACTTGAGTAGCTGAGGCTGTAATTCATCTGAAGTATTGTATTTTTTAAAATCAAAGTTGTCTTTGAAAATTCATTGCACAGGTGGTACAGCTGCTTTGGAGACTGAGATCAGGAGGAACGTGGTTCAAGGTCAGCCTGGGCAAAAATTTGTGAAACCCCATCTCAACAGAAAAAGCTAGGCATGGTGACACATGCCTGTCATTCCAGCTACTGTGATAAAGTATAAATAGGAGGATTTCATTTTGCCAGTCTGGGCAAAAAGTGAGACCCTATCTTGAAGATAACCAGAGTAAAAAGAGCTGGAGGCATGGCTCATATGGTAGAGCACCTGCCTAGCAAGTGCGAAGCCAAGTTTAATCCCTAAGACCACCACCCTAAAAATTCAGGACACAAAATCATGACTCTCAAGAAGACATTTTCATACATGTGTACTATGGACTTTGATCATCTTCATTGCCCAGTTCCCTCTAGTGTCCCCTCCCTCCTGCTGGTCCCTGCTCCTAGCAATTAATCCCCCTTCTGTTTTCATGTCTTTTAAAATGTTTTTAATCTAGATTCTCCTGTGAGTGAAAACATGTGACACCTGTCTTTCTGAGTCTGCTTATTTCACTTAACACGATCTCCACTGTCATCCATTTTCCTGCAAATGACATAATTTCATTCTTCTTTATGACTCCACAGTGTCTATATACCACACTTTCTTAATCCTGTATTTTGTGCAGCACCCTAGCTGAAGTGTAAGGAGAGAATTAGGGGACAGGATGGGAATTATGCCTGGGTGGGGGTCCCAGGCACCCCACTCCACAGCTGCCTGGGTTTGGTCATCCCTGTGGGGTGTTTCAGTTCTGGGCTGGGTGCCTGCTTCAGTGCTTTCCGGGAATTTCCCTCCAGGATCCACAGCCAGGCAGTGCCTTCTCCCACCTCATTACTCATTAACTGGCCAATAACCTTGACCTTGCCGTGGCCATCAACATGCCCTGTAGCAATGGTTTCTTCCTTCCACCCCTCATGGCCACTCAGCAGGCACAGAGAGCAAGAGGTTGGGATTCCAGCTGTGCAGGATGCCCTGTGACAGCTGCGTCCCCTCCTCCAGCCCCAATTCCTATTCTGTGCGATGGAGAGCCTTTGTTGTAGAACCTCATCTTTAGTCTGGGGTGACCATCCAGTGGTATCCAGCAAAAAAATTGGGTAGCCTAGTGTCCTGCACAGACTGGTGCTCAATGACTTGAGCTGTTTGTTGTGTGTTTGTTTGTTGAGCCAGAGTCTTGCTAAGTATCCCAGGCTGTCCTGGAACTCAGGAACCTCCTGCCTCAGGCTCCCCAGTGCTGGGATTACAGGTGTGAACCACCATACCTGGTTGAGGCCATTTTTATTTTACTGACACCTGCTTCTCCTCTGGCTTGCCTGGCTTTAATGACAGCACAGGCTCCCAAGCCAGACTCCTCCCTTACTCTCCTTGGACCAAGATGCTGGCCAAACTCTCACCTGGAATCTCTCTCTTAATCCCAGCCTCCCCTTCTCCTGTATTTGCTGCCTTCCCCAGGGCTCAAGCCTCCTTCTTTTCAGTCTTTATTCTCTAAAAAAACCAAATTTTGTATTTCTTTCACAAAGCAATGACGAAAGTGGCACCCCTTATCTGTGATTTCACTTTCTCACCGGGAGAGTGTTTGGAAAAGATGAGATTTCCCTGCTCAAGTTTCCAGGTCCTTTGGGACTTTCCAGGAACTCGGAATAACAGCTGGATAAATTTTGAAATAATCCACGAAGGAGGCACACAGGGTAGCAGGCCAACAGAGATTCAGCATAGAAAGACAAAGCAGGGTTCAGGGAGGAGGAGAAAGGGACAGCGGTGCCTTCTGACAAGACTGTCAGGCAGGGGGAGCAGAAAGTTCAGTGGGTGACTTCATCCCAAGATGTTTATGTCCTTGCTGGGACCTGTGGCTCCCGTCTGTAATCCTAGCTATTCAGGAGGCAGAGATCAGGATTGTGGTTCAAAGCCAGCCTGGCAAAGAGTTCTTAGGACCCTATCTTAAAAATACCCAATGCAAAAAAGAACTGGTGGGGTGGGTCAAGTGGTAGAGCACCTGGTTAGCCAGCATGAGGCACAGAGTTCAAACCCAAGTACTGCCAAAAATAATGTTGTGATGCTGTGTCCTCTTCTTGGACTGAAGGTTCCAGTTCAGAGCTGGTTGCCTGGATGTATGTTTACCTAGTAACCTTGCAATCATCCTCTTTTCATACAGTCACTCAAGTTTGGAGACAAAGGATCCGGGCTGGTCTATGATCAGAGGGTCCTGTGACATGGGTATCTGTTCTTTATGGTCTTTTTTTCTTTTTTGGCAGGGCTCACTACTGAGGCTTAAACTCAGGGTCTCATGTTTGCTAGGCAACTCTGCATCATATCCCCAGAGCTTTTTGAGATAGGGCCTCACTTTATGCTCATGCCAGCCTGGACCCCAATCTTCCTATTTATACTTCCTGCAGAGCTGCACTGCCAAGTCCATGCCACCATGTCTGGCTTTTATTGGCTAAGATGGGGACTCATGACCTTTTTGCTCAGGCTTGCCTCAAACTGAAATCTTCCTGATCTCTGCCTCCTGAGTAGCTAGGATTACAGGCATGAGGCACTGTGCCTTGCCCTAGACCCCAGATCATATTTAATTATATG